CGCAAAGGAGCAGAAGTCATCACTTTTAGTCACAAAGTGACCACATTTGTCATTCGTCTTTGACGAATATATATTTCACTTATAGTCAGAGATATGCGCCGCACTGAAGGCGGAGAAAAATTATTGTGTCCGCCGGCGCCATGCCATTAAACGTTGGTCGTCGCCGAGGGCGCAGACAGTTTTTATTAACCGGACCTTGGGAAGGATCTGAAAAGATAAAGAATTTAATTCTGATCATGACGAGACGCTTCTCTATATTTTTTTGACGTTAGGAAAGGTTTTGGTTATTTTTTAGAGTTTCTAGAAGAGTGATTTTCCAGAAAACAGGATGTTCGAAGGGCTATGAGAAATCCCCATCGTCATATTCTGAATGAACAAGGTTGATAACCTATAACCCACTAGATTTGGAGCAAAAACCGATTTACCACCTTGGGTGGTTCCCTCGTAAGATCTTAGGAAACGTAAGTGAAATCTTACTCATATGTATTTCATCTTTGACTCAAACGTATTTCAGGATTTTAAACCAAAGAGCGGAGAAATCGATTTTACGACTGGCTACAAAGGATGTGACAGTTACCAATATATTCCGATGAGAAAACACTAGAGAATGCCGCTATGACCTTTGAGATCTTGAATGAGTTGTTCTTTTTGCTTACGTGTTCTTATGTTTGCCATAGTATCAATATGAAGAAATTTCATTATTTCATCATACCGTTCGTTATTTCGAAGATTAGGATGTGCTTCTTTCGATGGTATTGATGGAAGTACACAGAGATAATGATTTTCACGTCCTGTTGGAACTGTTATGCTTTGAAAGAAAGCAAAAGTTTTTTATAACAATACATATAGGAAAAATAAGAGTTTTATATACCCTTAATTTTACATCGAAAGCATCCATATGCGTCGGTTGCTTCAGAATAGTTTTGTAGCAAAGTGATTACTGGTTTTTCAGATGATGTTGATAAAACAAATACTTTTAATGGGATCGCACGATCATTTTCTGATTTAACGATAAACGATCTCTCCACTTCTAACTTCGGCAGCTGTTCTACCACTAATTTCATTATTTTGAACATTTGATCTTTAGTTGGCTTAGTTGGTCCAGGCCAAAGTCCTCGCAAAACAACATTTTCTAACTTGAATCTGCTTTTTCGATCAATGCCATTAATAATGAATGTTATTAGCCAAATCGATAAATTACCACTGTGTCGTACTTGGATTTCATCTGCATTCATCAGTAGTGTAACAAATTGTTCGCTTTCATTGTTAAGACTATTTTGATAATGATTACCATCGTATATGTCTTGTTTTATTTGTAGATTAGTCGAATCAAGTGTCGAAAAAGTAAGTTGTTTTTCATGGTCGAATATTTGACGTAATTGTTGTTCAATATTGTATTCAATAAAATAGAATTTTGCTCTTGAATGATACTCTGGACGACGTAGGCATTCATCATTCTCTCATTGGTTCTTTTTCTGGAAGTGTTCTCACAATGGGGACAAAACGAGCACATTGTGCGTTTCTGTGCTGTTGTTGACGTTCTATTTAATAAACTGATTAATGTTCTGTAATCCTCCGGTATGTTTTTAATATTTAATAATATTAATAGTTTAACAATGCATTCATTGCTTTTCCGATTAAATCGAGTTTTAGTTTAAACATGATTAGAGCGGTAGCTAAATCCAACGAAGTCAATGATTCATGTAAATGTAATTCTTCTTCGAACCTAAACTGGAAAGAACCGTAATGCTATATAGGATTGTTCTCCTGAACAGAAACTCACTCAATATCGCCCATTTCTTCTTTTGAATCATTTTCACGTGATGCTTGTTCAGCTAGTTGTTGTTTATCTATTTCCATTTCTTCTTGGCCATAAAATGTATCGGTTTGAGATATATCAGTCGATGCTGAAAGGTAAATGGAGTATCATTAGGTATATTCTGTTCACGTTAAAGTTGCACATTACACTAACCTTTAGTCTACAAAATGAGCTGCCCTTCTTACATTTTTTGCGTGTGCTATTGATCTTTCGCGCTGACAATCAGGTACGTACATGGTTGAACAAAGACCTATGTGGAGTTACAGATTTAGAAGACAATAAAATAAAATACGATAAAACGGTTAGTGATATATGCTTTTGATAAGGCTAGTAAAACTCAACAAACGTAGTAATTTTATTCTCCTGACCTTATTTTCGAATTTTTTCTAAAAATATTTTCACCATATGTAGGAAAATCAGCAGAATAACAGACAACACAAAAGTAGAAAAAATTTCGTAGCTAATACTTCAGTTTTTTACTAATCAGAGTTCTAACTTTTCTGAACATATTTGTTACAAACATATGCCTTGATTTTGTACTTCGATTAGCGTCCACATCTTTTTTTCTGACTTTGCTTAAAAGGTCCGTGTATTCGTATGGACGTGTTTTAAATAAGACTAGAAAATGCATCTCGTATTCTTATTTGGAACATGGAAAAATTAGAACACGAATATACTCGTAAAAACCGCGCCATAAGTGCACGAAAAAGTGATCATTTCCTGCGAATAATTATAAGGTTTGATTCGGCAGACTCTTCTGAATATTTATATAAAATTCTGAAGGTTTCATTGAACTTTGTAGGCAAAAAGAAAAAGAACTTTTTCTTCAGCTGGATTGCAAATCTCTATGTATTTGTATGGACGTATTCTCTATACGGTTAATATAACTTTATAATTCTAAGGTTAATAGCGTTAGTAGTTAGTAATAGTGTTTAATAACCAAAAACTACCTCTCCATAATTATGTCCTGTTTTAGTCATAAGTATTTATAGACCGATACTATTCTTCTCATTCACAATGATTTTTTCTCATATCATGACTGGTTTTGTCGACTTCACAAATATTCTCTCTTATTTTTGAATGTTTAATTCATTGAAATATAAACTAATATTTTTATTTTTCTATGAAATCTATGCATTGAAGATATGTGAAAAACTGCTCCTTCGATTACCATGAAGGAATTCACCAAAGTAAGATTAATAATTACACTCTCGCGAGGTTTAGCGAGTACAGTCAGAAAGGAAGGAAGATTCTATTTTATAGGATGAAATCGCGATGAATGCTCAACGATCGGGTAGCCCTTTGTTTGTTGGGTGAGTATTTAATCGCGATTTTAGTAAAATGCTGCGCTAATCGAGATTGTTATATGACATAACGGTTAATTGCGATTTTGTTTGAATGGCCATGACTTGTGACGGTCTGATTAGCCGGTCACCAAAACGATCAACCCAAAAAGGCCTCATGGGTAAGTAGCTGGCGATGTTGTGCTTGTACATTTAAGTGAATTTTGTTGTATTGTGAGTTGTGTTCATTCGAGTGATGCTAAAAGGAATAAATGAATAAGTTTGCTCACAAAGGAATCACAGTTCTCGGTACTTGGATATGATGGTGGTGGCGATGAATACAGATGATTTGATGACATCTTCTGAACGGAAAAACAAAATGAGATACAAATAATTGATCGGAGCATAAGCACAAAACTTACTATCTTGTGCTACTTACGAGAAGCTGAGGTTCTCAGAGCTAAATCATTCCAAACCATTCTGTAATATCATTCAAAATATCAGCAGCAGCAGCTGAAACAAAACAAAGCCCGTTCTATAGAAGAAATGTCATAGCTACTGATTCAGTACCTTTAGTATCGCTAGGTGACGGAAAGGTGGATACTGTTTCTGTTATGGATACGTTCGCGTTTCCACTATTATTCGTTGGCGTTGGTATTATGATTTCATTATTATTTGATGATATTAGTTTTCGTTGTATTGTCGTTACTGTGTCTCGACTTGATTATGATGGCGCAATATTTTCTTTCAAAATTGCATTTATTGTATGTGGACCGAGTGTAGGTTTGATTCGTTTTGCCACAACATTTTTAAATAAAATTGCATTTGCTCAGTGGCGTCTATTCCCACATAAGCATTTGAGGCCTTTGTACCGCCTCAGAGGTTCGAGTCTGTAGTGTACCACCTCGAAAATGAAATTTTACAATAAAAAAGCATCCCACCTACTTTTGTTTGAGGCATTTTGCCCTAAACGTCCCAACGGGTCCCAATCGAGCATTTTTCGACAGGAGCTAACATATACGTATAATCATAATCACTCTCATTTAAAAAACAACGTGTGTTACACTTGTAGTACGGTTGGTACCATTACGTCCTTGTAGGAATTGTACAGTACCACGTAGCCAGTTTTTCAGTGTCCTCCCTTCCCACTTTTCTCTGTTGTCTTTTAACGTTTTCACATGTAGAGAAAATACACAACGAATCACGCAGTATTGGTTTCTTTATCAGATGAACTGAGAATCCAAAGCAGTACTTATCTAAATACTGCCAATTCAATAAACGAATGAAATTAAATAAATTGGAAGTAAAATCTAATATAATACTATAAAAGAGATTATAAAATAAAATGTATGCTTCTCCCTTCTTCGAGCACGTGGTGTTCGAACAGCTGTTAGTTGAGAATAATGTTGTAAACCATGAGTTGCCATTTACGAATCTCAAATTAGAAATAAAATGAAAGAATGCCGTAAGCTTTTTATTGTTTGAGAGAAGCATGTTGCACGTAATGATGACATATAAAGAGGATGTAAAGGACGTACGATGAATAAAACTTTTTTTTCGTCCGATATTGTACAAATTTTATTCAAATGATGTGTTTTCATTCTATTAGAACCAAACAACGGAAAATACACGTCATTTCTATCGTATGACCTTTGAGAACAACTTTAAATATATAAATGCATGTACTTTACAAAAAGGGAAAAGCAGCAACTATATCTGATTGAGAGTGATATGTACAAAACTTCAGTCATGCTCGTAATTACATAATACTTCAAGTAATAAATGTCTATCATGTGTAAATGGAATAACAACACATTGATACAGAATTTCTTTGACTATCACTATGTTGTATTCAAACGAATTTAAATCTAATGAAGAATAGTATCGATCAATAAAAGCAATATCAGCTAATGCATCAATTCGTTTTGTGCGAATGATATCATCTGTACAATCAAACTGTTTGATAAAAGCGTAGTCGACATTGTTAAATATAAAGTATCCGATAATTGCAGCAAAACGTTTGCCCATATTTTGTTGACAATGATTATTCTTAGACGAGACAATGTTACTTAAGCCAGAACCAATTTGACTGTATAATACAGAATTATATTTAATTAAACCACGATTTAGTCGACAATAGCCTGTAGTTTTGTTGAAATTCAAATTTTCTTGGAAAAATGTGTTCAATGTTCTTGAAAATCGTTCACGTACGCATGTTCTATTGTCATATTAACATAAGGTATATCAAAAACTTTTTGGAAGGAAAACAGATCATCTAGTGATGGTTCTTCTGCTTCACTATAAGAGAAGAAAGAGAACCGCTATCAACGCAATAGCGGAGGAGAAGGTCAGAAAAACCTAAAAGGTGAATGACGTCATTTGTATACAGCCTCTTCTTGGAATTGATTTGGAAGATAGTTGTGTGCATATATTGTATATAAATCTGATATTTGACCAGAAATTGACGAACATTCTTCTCGATAACGATCTAGTAATGGTTCAATTTGATCAACATCTTCAATTCGATCGTAATAATGCATAATACGAATGGATGTAAAATGTAATAAAAAATGACCAGCAATTTCATCTGAACCGTAACGAAGAATGATTGGAATTGCGACGTATAACAACAAAAACGGTATGTTTTTACTTTCTACCACTTGAGCGACTTTTTAATGAAGGATTGTTCGGTATTATACCTCTTCAATAAATGTTGACATTTATCAATCCACTGATTCAGCAAAAATAATATGTGTCCACTAAATAGAAATTAATTATTCTAACTGAATAAACAGCAACCGTATGTGTGTCACCTGCAACACAAATGCATGTAATCGAATGGAAAATTAGATTGTACATTGAACGATAATTCCAAAAGTGGTGTTTTACCATGTATACCTTCTATTGACAATTGACCGTTCTTGAGTTGAGCTTGATGAGACCGTGCATGGGCGAGTCCGAGCCCGGTCTGGAAGAGTTTTTGGTGGACTGGAACTCGGACTGGAGATTTTCTTGAAGGACTCTGGCTAAGCAACTAAACAATAATTTTGCTGTTGGTTCATTCTCAGATAAATATAGAGAAAAAAGAATTTTATTCGTTTAATATTCACGGAGCAGGAAAGGTATCTCCATAATTGTGCCTGTCACGACGGACTTATTTTTTTAACTTTGCTGTGACAATATTCATACCATCGACATAGATCATTAACACTACTTGTTTATATTGCACGTTTCTATGTAATTGTTTGTGACTCGAACCATTAATTACATCATTAGATAATAAGCACGATGTGGATAATTGATTACTAAATTCAAATTTCTCGCCACAATATTCTTGATACGTGTTTAGGCGTGACCGTCAGGTAGTAAATAAAGTAATAACGGTATTAAAAATAATATATGTGTGAATGCTAAATAAGTTTAATAACGAACGTTTTTATCCTTTTGTAAGCATTATTCAGCGTTACTGCACCATCCTCGTATAACAACTGCTCCTCAGGTGCGTTTTCTGACTCTGGAGCATCCATAAAAAATAGGATTTGTACAATAATTGCCATCATTATCAGCTGCTAATGAACTGTGACGATCATCGTTGCTTTGATCCAGATGTTCAAAATATCTTTCGGTTTTAGAATCTTCGTCAGAACAAGTAACATCCTCTTGCTCGACGTCCATTGCGTTCAGGTCATCAATATTGTTATCATTATCATTGTTATTGCTTGTTGAGTTCATTGCCTATATCCTTCATAAACCTGTACGTACAAGGATTACGACGAGCACTGAAGCAGTACTTAGTATAGTATTAGATTTTATATCAAGTGACTGTTTTACATCATGCCTTGGTTAAACTAGCTACTCAAAAAAATCTTCTTTCTACTGGTCGGTAACCGAAAGCACCAGCTAAATAAATGAGTCATCCCTAGTGCATCCATTTTTTGATTATCTCAGCCTTCACTGAAATAATCAATTACTAATGCACATGTGTCATATTTATATTAGGACAGAAAAGTAAACGGCAGGAAATAAGCATCTGGACTAAATAGCAAATAGTTTCTCTTCTCGGTAAAATAGTATTGCTGCTAAAAATTTGTCGGGAATCCCATGGGAGTGTGCATAATTCGCCCGACTCCCGGTCAACTCCCGTGCAAAACGGAAACCCTACGGGGCTTTCACAGAAATCCCACGGGATTTTACATTTTTTTGGGAGTCCTTCTTCCGAGATTATCGACTAGAGTGCGTCAGAATTCAGCAACGACTCAATTTGTGTCTTTAAAACTTGAACAAAAAACATAGTTTAATTTAATAAATATTATTCAATAAGTAAGAACTATAGAATAGTTCTTGATTACTGTTCCCACCGAAGAAACCAGTACCTGAAAAGTAAGTTTCCTAAATCTTCTCTTTCGTATGTCCAAGAAAACATCAAATTTCGTCGAGTATGTAAATTTTTACAATGTAGTAATCAGCATTGAAGACCTGTAAAGAATACCTTTCTACTCTGCTGTCGAGTCAGTCAACATTCTACACAAAATCCTATGCATTTGCAGTATTTTTCCTATATTTATATATTCAGGACCGCTTCCGAGCAGGATCTTAGACGCTAAAATCCTGCTAGGATTTCACTTAGATTTTTTCGGGATTCTAACACAAACCTCACAAATTATACGATTTTCGGGTATTTCTATTAGCATTCTATAGAATTTTATTAGCATCCTAAAGCGACATTCTAGTAGGTTTGTGGTAGGATATGTCTAGGATTCTGTCAAGAAATTCATACATCTCTTTCTGCAGCAAAAAATAACCTACACGTTATCGACCAATATTCGATGAAATTTGATGTGTTCTATATCATAAGAAAGAATTTTTAGGTCAACGTGATATTCTGTTTATGCAAAGTAAGACTACAAATTTAATCTGAATATTTATCTAATATATACTTCGATTTTCTAAAAAAATTCAAGGTATATTCTTAACAAAAGTCGTTATACTACTCTGATAACAGATGTTTCTATGCTTTGAAAAAAGATAAAACTTGTTTATTTTGCTATATACTATGAGAATCTTAAATGATGAACTTTTGTTCGATAACTCTAAATAAAGAAGATATGTATTTTGTAATAATGCACGTGTACATTGATCACTATTTACTTAGACATCGTAACGATATTATACATGGCTGTATTCGATTAGATAACAAAATGTAGAACATTCTTTGCATATTATTCTTGATCAGTTCGAATTAATTAAAGAAAAAAATTTTGTTGTCTGAACGGTTTTGTATTATCCCGTTAAGTGAGAATATGTTTTTTTTCCCACGAATATGAAAGACAACAAATAAAAGAAATCTTACATCCTTCCGACATGTAAACGTGAATTGAATAGAAATGTTGACATTTCTATTGTATGCGTGTGTGTGATTCGAGGCAAACAAAAGTTAGTCCAAAAGAAAACAAATTGCAATGGTGGGTATGCAGTTAATTAAATGTGTACAGTTCACTTATGTTCAAAGTAGAAATGATAAACAGTAAGATGCTAATTAAAACATAGTTAATAGTGTGTGGAAGAAATTAGTCGTCAAAACAAACCGAAAACTTTTCTGTTTTAATTTGTAAATTGTTTAATGTAAATTTAAACGAGGTACAACTTAATAATTTCATCATGATCAAAATATTGTTCATGTGCAAAAAGTAGCAATCAAGAAAATATCAAAAATTTAGAGATGGACGAATATCCGAATTGTGAATATTCGAGGTAGGGATATCCTATTAGAAGTATATATATTGCAGATGACTTTCGTATCTAGCTCACTATGTGTATTTTTCAGCGGACGGGGGAAGCAGGAGAGCCGTGTCAGAGTGAGCTAGAAAAGCATAATAGTAGAACATTCAAGTAAGCCATAAAAGCTACATAAGTCAGAAAAGCGCGTTAAGTAACGGTTCTTTTCTCGCTTCTCATGAGAATATTCCCGAATAGGATATCCGCCCAGTCCTCAAAAAATTTTTCAATTTTATTATTTGCGCATTTATTTGTATGCTTCTGTAGGAACAGTATAGACGAGCTATGAGAAATGTATGGTGTATTATATACTTGACTGGTAAGTTTGTCTATCTTCAACTGCTTGAATTCGTCGTACTGTACGATGAGTGTTTATTTTTTCATTCATAATATTTTTCTTTTATTTATTAGTAATCATTTGTATCATTCATGTTTATGAAAGTAAAACTTTCAATGAATTATTACATAAATATAGCTTTAATTTTACATCTGTAAAATCGCTCAGAGCTGTGAACGACACAATATTATTGCAGCAAAAATCAAGTAAAAACTTGACATTGTTAAAATTATTAGTATCAACGAATGAATCAAACAATCAAATACAATATATTGAAACGCCGATTAATTCAGCAACAACGATATTGACCAAGTGGAATATGCAAATTACTTCAACTTATTTGGAACCCAATCAAACAAAAGACACTCAAAACACTTATACGAGTAGTGCAGCAATAGTGACAAAACCAAATTCATATATATTAAATGAAGACGATTATTCAGATGAGGAACTCAATGACGAAGAAAGAAAACGAGTTAAACGAGCTTTCACCTGTAAAGGTAATGCCATGTTCAATGATACATTCGAATTCTAATAATCCTCTTCTTTTTTTCTTCAGTTGATGGCTATTTTCCAGATTACAACAATTGTCGAATCTATCATATGTGTAACGGTGGTATAGGTACAGCCGTTGTATGCGGAGAAGGAACAGTTTGGGATCCAGAAAAGAAAATTTGTGGCTGGACCAATACTGTTGAATGTAGAAATGGCATAAGAAAATGGGAAAAAATTACTGACATGCGAGGAAGTGTGTAGAGACAAAAATAGTCTAACTACATTCTCTAAATAAATAGTATTATTTTAGTGACATTGTTTTCGACTGATTCAGCGCGTGCATGGCAAAAAAAGTCAACAAAAAAGTGGACAGCATTAAAAGTT